AGACCCCAGAAACACACACACACACACACACACACACACACACACACACACACCAGCAGGGGGCGACACACATCAGTTTAACACACATGATCACTTGGCCTCCTAAAGTCAACATTAAAATTACATTATTCTAAATCTCTCAAACATTATTTTTCTTATATAGATTTATTTTAGAAACAATTATATATTTATTTCATTATATATTTATGTTTTATATAATATATTTACACATTTTAAATAATAATTTAAATAAAACTTTATTTACCTTTGGGATACAGTAAATAATACAAAATATATAAACAATGATATGATATTTATTATATTTTATTATATATTTTATATAATAAAATGATACATTTATTTATAAATTATTTATAATTAAATGTATACATTTTCAAATAATTTATTATATAATTAAGTCATTTAAATTTAATTTTTATATAATATAATTACACATTTATTTATTTATTATATATAAATATTTTTTAAAATAATCATTTATATATTTATGTAATTTATTATATTTTAAAATATATTTTATTTCATATTTTTATACAATAAAATGATATATTTATTTATAAATTATTTACAAATAAATGCACATAATATACATTTTAAATACATAAAAAAAAAAAACACAATTTATATAACTTTCTCCAGAATAAACTAGCTGTTTTTGCAGTTCATTTTTAAATAATTGTCTATTTGGACTGAGAAGAGTGTTTTGAGTTGTGACAGTCACATCAGCAAAAATTTTGCAAATATTTGCAGGCCAAAAAGACTAATTGTTCATTGTCAATAGTGCAGTGATGCACAAAGTCACTTTCAAACCGAACATCTTTCTGTTGGTCAACATGGTCAGTTTAGTTAAAAATAACTAGCAAAATCTGCTTTAGGGAAATGTTCTGCTCTCTCACGAAATTCACAATCACTCAATCAAACGAGTCATTTACAAATTTCATGTTAAAGTTGTTTTGCTGATCTGAAGTGTTTCAGATGTTCTTCTCAAATCTCTCTTGAATGTTTGATCTGTGGTGAATCATTGATCTTCTGTAGATTCATGCAGGCTCTTGTCGCACCTTATCATAGAGACTCCCAGAGTTCCTCCTGTCATCCTCGTCAGCGGCGTCTTCAGCCGGAGGATCGTCCTGCTTGAGCTCGTCGCTCAGATAGCGTTCAAACACGCTGGAGAAACACACGGCCGACAGAACGCACACCACAGGCGTCAGAGTCAGCATGAGCCGCACCATCACACCGGCGAAATACACCGCGCTGATGCCATACAGAACCACTGCAGGACAAACAGAGACACACACACCTGAGACACGCAGCACTGGACCTGAAGGAAAGCACTCACAGCATGGCACGTACCGAACATGCGCTCGGCGTTGATGTTTCTGATGCAGAACCACAGGCCTGCTGGGAAGGTGCAGACCAGGATGTGAAGATCAAAGAAGAAGGAAACCCAGGTAGTCGGCTGATGCTCTGATACGGACGCGATGATCGGAATATGAATCTTAGCATAGCTGCACAAAAAATATCAGACATTAAACATACGGCATGAAAATATTTCCTGAAATGAACACAAACTCTGATTAAAAATGACATTTTTGTGTTGTTTGCCTGTAAAAAATGGCCAAAAAGAGTTGCTGTGCAGCACACAGGTTTCAGAGTGTTTTTATCATGTTGCTATGCAGTTGCTAGGGTGTTCTGAGTGGAGTTTAGCATGTTGCTAAATGCGAGGTTTTGATTGTAAATTATGTAACTGTCAGTGTATTTTTACCCCGTGTCCCAGAGTGAATAAAAGCGTCCGCTCCACGGAGCGATCCAACCTGAACACACAAACACACACGATCATCAGCAGACGCTCATGTCATCATATATGTCACATGATCATGCACCACGGTAAACTGACCGATGCAGCTGAGGTACACGACACACACAAACAGCAGCAGCGCAGCGACACAAACGCAGACAGAAAACAGAGTCTGTTTGTCCTGCCGCGTCAGTCTGTCTCGCAGGAACTGCAGGAAAGAGTAGAGCTGCACGAGCATGAACACACCTGCACACACACACACACTGAATCAACATTAAATCAACACCGAATCAACGTTTGTGTGTTTGTGACTCAGTAGCCAATGAGGAGAGACTCACCAGCCGCTGCCATGTGTTCGCTGGTTCTGATTGGCTGAAACCCAACGAAAGGAATCTGCATAGACAGAATCAGACCAATGATGTAGAACGTGCTGTACGCTGAGAGAGAGAGAGAGAGAGAGAGAGAGAGACGACCAATCAGAATCAACGCTGGAATGAATCAAAGTGCAGTTTCTGCTATGAATCTTGACTGAGACTCACCGATGTAAACTCTCTTACTGAAGCGGCGCATCAACAGCAGAACGAACACATGAAGAGGAATCAGATTAATGATGAAGACGTAACCGCCCCACGCCGACACCTCAAACACACACACACACACACACATACACACTGTTAGTCTGAATAGTAATTTCTCTGTCAATTTCCCTCTTTGGTAAAAACTCATGTGGATCATAATAACAAACATTAATTTCCCTCTGTGATCGTCTGACTCGATTTGACCGTGAGCAGAAACACAGAATCAATCAGCTTTAACAATTCAGAAGAAGAACAGGCTGAATGTGATGAACACATTTGTGAACGAACAACAAAGAGATTCAGTCTGTTGTTTGAGAGTGTTTGTGATCAGATCTCTCTAACGTGATGGAAACGTCTCCAATACCTTGAGAAAAAGAAGTACACTTTAACATACTTATTACGGAGATAGTATACTTCAAAATCTACTTAAGTAGGAAATGAATGTAATGGTTTCACTTAACTACATGTTATTTGCAATTAAATGAAAATGTATTATAGTTTACTTTTATATTAAAGGGATAGTTCACCCAAAAATGAAAATTCTGTCATTAATTACTCACCCTCATGTCGTTTCAAACCCGTAAGACCTTCGTTCATCTTCGGAACACAAATTAAGATATTTTTGATGGAATCTGAGAGCTGTCTGACCCTGCATAGACAGCAACGCAACTGAAATGTTCCCAAGTCCAGAAACGTAGCAAGGAGATCAGTAAAATAATCCATGTGACATCAGGGGTTCAACCGTAATTTTACGAAGCTACGAGAATACTTTTTGTGTGCAAAAGAAAAAAAAACGACTTTATTCAATAATTCGTCTCCTCCGCATCACCCTGTAGCGTCATTTTGGAGAGTATCCGCGGGATGTAAACAGCGTATGCTGTTCTGTGTCAGCTGCGTCACGCCGGATCTGTTTCCAACGTTGTTGTGATTTG